AATCAGGTATAGCTAATAACAGCTAACACAATCATTCTGACTTAATAAAGGTAATAAATGACGAATATTCAAAAATGATTTCTGTTTTTTCTCATATATTTTGTGAAGGGTCAAATAAAGACTTCAAACAATAACAAAAATTCTCCCTATTTCTTTATTGGATTGGGCTTTAAAGGGTTAAAAAAGCAGATTTCCATCAGTGAACTGATCAATATGACGGATTAAGAAGTTTTTAAGGAGCTGGGTGACTCTTTCTGAGCGTTTATTACCCAATTAAACGCTATAATGTATTAATTAAAGCTAAAATTGTTAGATTATCCTAATAAAAAATGGTGCAAAATGAAGTATGTTCTTTTAACCACATATAAATATGTATTTGTTTAACAGTGTGTAGAAGACTATACACAATCATTCTGATTTAGCAAAGGTAATAAATGACGAATATTAAAAAATAATTGCATTTTTTTCTCATATATTTTGTGAATGGTCAAATAAAGACTTCAAACAATACCAAAAATTCTCCATATTTTTTTCTTGGACTGGGCTTTAAAGGGTTAAACTGATCAATATGATGGATTAAGAAGTGTTTATGGAGCTGAGTGACTCTTTGTGAGCGTTTTAAACCCAATTGAACACTAAAATTGATTAATTAAAGCTAAAATTGTTAGATAATCCTAATAAAAAATGGTGCAAAATGAAGAATGTTCTTTTAACCACATATAAATATATATTTGTTTAACAGTGGGTAGAACACTATACACAATAATTCTGATTTAGCAAAGACGAATATTAAAAAATAATTGCATTTTTTTCTCATATATATTTTGCAAAGGGTCAAATAAAGACTTCAACAAATAATAAAAATTCTCCATATTTTATTCTTGGATTGGGCTTTAACGGGTTAATTTAATCTTACCTCATAATCTGGAGAAAAATGCATATCCATCAGGGTAAAAGTCGCCTGTTTTCTGCTCTCTGCTTTCCTTTTTAGCTTCTCTATATCTGCCTGAGTG